AAAATGGGATATATGGGATATTTGGGAATAGGGGATAAACGGGATATATGGGATAATGGGATATATGGGGTAAGTGGGATATATGGGATAATGGGATATATGGGATAAACGGGAATATGGGATAAGTGGGATATATGGGATAAATGGAATATATGGGATAAATGGGAATGTGGGATAAATGGGATATAAGGAATAAATGGGAAAAATGGGAATATGGTATAAATGGGATATTTGGGGGGAAATGGGAATATGAGATATATGGGATATATGGGATAAATGAGAATAATGGGAATATGGCATTAATGGAATTATGGGGTAAGTGGGATATAGGGGATAAATGGGATATATGGGAATATGGTATAAATGGGATATATGGGATGTATAGGAAAAATGGAATATATGGGATAAATGGGATATATGGGAATAATGGGAAAAATTAGATATATGGGAATAGTTGGATATATGGGGGAAATGGGTTATAAGGTATAAATGGGAATATGGGATAAATGGGATATATGGTATATATGGGATAAATGAGATAATGGGATAAATGGGATATACTGGAAAAATTGGATATATGGGATAATGGAATACATGGGATACATGGGATATATGGGGTAATGGGATATATGGGATAACTGGGAATAGTGGGCTATATGGGAATAGTGGGAAAAATTAGATATATGGGAATATTTGGATATATGGGGAAAATGGGTTATAAGGTATAAATGGGAATATGGGACAAATGGGATATATGGGAAAAATGGGATATAAGGGATAAATGGGAATACGGCATAAATGGGAATATGGGATATATGGGATATATGGGATATATGGGAATAGTGGATAAATGGGCTATATGGGAATAATGGGAAAAATTAGATATATGGGAGTAGTTGGATATATGGGAAAAATGGGTTATAAGGTATAAATGGGAATATGGGATATATGGGATAATGGATACATGGGATATATGGGAATATGGGATAATGGGATAAATGGGATAATGGGATATAATGGGATATATGGGAATATGGAATACAAGGGATAAATGGGATATAAGGGATAAATGGGATATATGGAGGGAAATGGGAATATGAGATATATGGGAATATTGGATAATTGGGATATATGGGATAAATGGGATATAAGGGATAAATGGGAATATGAGATATATGGGAATATGGGATAAATGGGATATATGGGATAAATGGGAATAATGGGAATATGGCATAAATGGGATTATGGGATAAGTGGGATATAGGGGATGAATTGGATATGTGGGTATAGTGGGATATATGGGATAAATGGGATATATGGGAAAAATGGGATATATGGGAATAGGGGATAAACGGGATAGACTGGAAAAATGGGATATATGGGATATATGGGAATATGGGGATAAGTGGGATAAATGGGAAAAGTGGGAATATGGAACTATGGGATAAATGGGATGTATAGGGAAATGGGAAAATGGGATAGATGGGAATAGTGGGGAAATGCAGTGTGGGATAAATGGGATAAATGGGGTAATGGGATAAATGGGATAATGGGATATATGGGATATATGGGGTAATGGTGTATATGGGATAATGGGATATATGGGGTATATGGGATACAAGGGGTATATGGCATAAATGGGATATAGGGGATAATGGGATATGTGGGATATATGGGATAATGGGATACATGGGATATGTGGGATATATGGAATATATGGGACAAATGGGATACATGGGATAAATGGGATATATGGGATAAATGGGATATATGGAGGGAAATGGGAATATGAGATATATAGGAATATGGGATAATTGGGATATATGGGATAAATGGGAATATGGGATAAATGGGAATATGAGATATATGGGAATATTGGATAATTGGGATAGATGGGATAAATGGGATATAAGGGATAAATGGGAATATGAGATATATGGGAATATTGGATAATTGGGATATATGGGATAAATGAGAATAATGGGAATATGGCATAAATGGGATTATGGGACAAGTGGGATATAGGGGATGAATTGGATATGTGGGTATAGTGGGATATATGGGATAAATGGGATATGTGGGGAAAATGGGATATATGGGATATATGGGAATAGGGGATAAACGGAATAGACTGGAAAAATGGGATATATGGGATATTTGGGAATATGGGGATAAGTGGGATAAATGGGAAAAGTGGGAATATGGGACTATGGGGTAAATGGGATGTATAGGGAAATGGGAAAATGGGAATAGTGGGAAAATGCAGTGTGGGATAAATGGGATATATGGGAATAGTGGGATATAGGGGGTAATGGGATAAATGGGATATATGAGAATAGTGGGATACATGGGATAAATTGGATATATGGGATATATGGGAATAATGGGATATACGGGATATGTGGGATATATGGGAATAATGGGATATATGGGATAAATGGGATAATGGGATATATGGGATACATGGGATAAATGGGATAATGGGATATATGGGATACATGGGATATATGGGATACATGGGATAAATGGGATAATGGGATATATGGGATACATGGGATATATGGGATACATGGGATACATGGGATAAATGGGATATGTGGAAATGGGAACAGGGATAGGAATAGGATAAATGGGGATAATGGGATAAATGGGGATAATGGGATAAATGGGGATAATGTGATAAATGGGAATATTGGGATAAATGGGAATAATGGGATAAATGGGAATGGGAATTGGAATCATGGGAATGAGGATGGGGGGCACATCCCGATCCCATTCCAGGGATTCTGGAGGATTTGGGATTCCCTTGTTTTGGGATTCCCTGGTTTTGGGGTTTCCTGGATTTGGGAATTTCCAGGACTTGGGATTTCCTGGATTTGGGATTTCCTGGTTTTTGTTTGGGATTTTCCTGGATTTGGAGTGGTCTGGATGTAGGGTATCCAGGATTTGGGATTTCCTGGATGTGGGAAGATTCTGATTTGGGAGATTCCTGGATTTTTCCCATCGAATATTTTCCCCATTTCCGATGATTTCATTCCCATTTCCATGGAATTTTCCCCCCATTTCCCCACAGAATTTTTCCTCATTTCCCCACAGAATTTCCCCCCCATTTCCCCACAGAATTTCCCCCCCATTTCTCCACAGAATTTTCCCCCTGATTCCCATGGAATATTTCCCCATTTCCTATAGAATATTTCCCCCATTTCCCCACAGAATTTCCCCCCCATTCCCCACAGAATTTCACCCCCATCTCCCATGGAATTTTCCCCCCATTTCCCCACAGAATTTCCCCCCCATTTCCCTGAATTTCCCCCCCATCTCCCCACAGAATTCCCCCCATTTCCCCATACAATTTTCCCCAATTTCCCCACAGAATTTTCCCCCCATTTCCCATGACTTCATTCCCATTTCCCATGGAATATTTCCCCCAATTCCCCACAGAATTTTTCCCCTCAACTCCCCACAGAATTTCCCCCCCATTTCCCTGGAATTTCCCCCCCATTTCCCCACAGAATTTTTCCCCCTGATTCCCCACAGAATTTTTTCCCTGGAATTTCCCCCCTCCTTTCCCTGGGATTTTCTCTCCATTCCCCCACAGAATATTCCCCCCATTTCCCATGGAATTTTCCCTGCCATTTCTCCTGGAAGTTCCCCCCCATTTCCCCACGGAATTTTCCCCATTTCCCCACAGAATTACTCCCCCCATTTCCCATGACTTCATTCCCATTTCCCATGGAATATTTGCCCCATTTCCCCACAGAATTTCCCCCCCATTTCCCCACAGAATTTCCCCCATTTCCCCACAGAATTTGCCCCATTTCCCCACAGAATTTTTCCCTTTGATTCCCATGGAATTTCCCCTGGAATTTCCCCCATTCCCCCTGGATTTTTCCCCCCATTTCCCCACAGAATTTCTTCCCCCCATTACCCTGGAATTTCCCCCCCATTTCCCCACAGAATTTCCCCCCATTTCCCATTGAATTTCCCCACAGAATTCCCCCCTATTTCCCCACAGAATTTTCCCCATCTTCCCCCCAGAATTTCCCCCCCCATTTCCCTGGGCTTTGCCCCCATTTTCCCGGAATTTTCCCCCATTTCCCCACAGAATTTCCCCACAGAATTTCCCCTCATTTCCCCACAGAATGTTTCCCCGATTCCCATGGAATATTTCCCCATTTCCCCACAGATTTTCCCCCCATTTCCCCACAGAATTTTTCCCCCATTTCCCCACAGAATTTTTCCCCCTGATTCCCATGGAATATTCCTCAATTTCCCCCATTTCCCCACAGAATTGCCCCCATTTCCCTGGAATTTCCCCACAGAATTCCACCCCCATTTCCCTGGAATTTCCCCCATTTCCCTGGGCTTTGCCCCCATTTCCCCACAGAATTATTCCCCCAATTCCCCACAGAATTCCCCCACCATTTCCCCATTTCCCCACAGAATTCCCCCACCATTTCCCCACGGAATTTTCCCCATTTCCCCACAGAATTTTCCCCAATTTCCCCACAGAATTTCCCCCCCATTTCCCCACAGATTTTCCCCCCATTTCCCCTGGATTTTCCCCCCCCATTTCCCCCAGTCTCCCCTGGAATTTCCCCGAATTTCCCTGGAATTTCCCCACAGTATTTTCCCACCATTTCCCCACAGAATTCCCCCCATCTCCCCACAGAATTTTTCCCCCTGATTCCCATGGAATTTCCCCTGGAATTTCCCCACAGAATTCCCCCCCCCCATTTTCCCCCCATTTCCCCACAGCATTCCCCCCCATTTCCCGGTAATTTCCCCCATTTCCCCACAGAATTTTTCCCGCATTTCCCCACAGAATTTCCCTTGGTATTTCCCCCATTTCCCCACAGATTTTCCCCCCAGAATTCCCCCCCCCATTTCCCGGTAATTCCCCCCATTTTCCCTGGAATTTTTCCCCCCATTTCCCGGTAATTCCCCCCATTTTCCCTGGAATTTTTCCCATATTTCCCCTGTGTTCTGTGTCCCCGCAGTGAGAACGAGGCGCTGTGGCGGGAGGTGGCCAGCCTGCGCCAGAAGCACGCCCAGCAGCAGAAGGTGGTCAACAAGGTGAGTCCACATTCCCGGAAATTCCAATTTTAACAGCAGAATTCCCGCTTTTCCAGCACAATTCCCAATTTTCCAGAGCCAATTCCCACTTTTCCAGGGGTAATTCCCAATTTTCCAGAGCCAATTCCCAATTTTCCAGGGGTAATTCTCACTTTTCTGGGGGTAATTCTCACTTTTCTGGAGGCAATTCCTGAATTTCCAAGGGGAATTCCTGTTTTTCCAGGAATATTCCCAGGAAATTTCCCACTTTTCCAGGGGTAATTCCCAATTTTCCACACCCAATTCCCAATTTTCCACACCCAATTCCCAATTTTCCAGGGGTAATTCCCCAATTTCCAGGTGTAAATTTCCTGGGTAATTCCCAAAGTTCCAGAAACAATTCCTGATTTTCAAGAGCCAATTCTTGCTGTGTTTGGGGTAATTCCCAATTTTCCAGGGGTAATTCCTGAATTTCCAGGAAAATTCCCAAATTTCCAGAGCCAATTCCCAATGTTCCAGGGCCAATTCCCAATTTTCCAGGGGTAATTCTCACTTTTCTGGGGGTAATTCCTGTTTTTCCAGGAATATTCCCAGGAAATTTCCCACTTTTCCAGGGGTAATTCCCAATTTTCCACACCCAATTCCCAGTTTTCCACACCCAATTCCCAATTTTCCACACCCAATTCCCAAATTCCCAGGAAAATTCCCAAATTTCCAGGCCTAATTCCCAATTTTCTGGGGGTAATTCCTGTTTTTCCAGGAATATTCCCAGGAAATTTCCCACTTTTCCAGGGGTAATTCCCAGTTTTCCACACCCAATTCCCAATTTTCCAGACTCAATTCCCAAATTCCCAGGCGTAATTCCCAGTTTTCTGGGGGTAATTCCTGCTTTTCCAGGGGTAATTCCCCAATTTCCAGGTGTAAATCCCGAATTTCCAGGGAAATTCCCAAAGTTCCAGAAACAATTCCTGATTTTTCCAGGAAAATTCCCAAATTTCCAGGGTAATTCTGCAGTTTTCCATGAAAATTCCCAACTTTCCAGAGCCAATTCCCAATTTTCCTAGGAGTAATTCTCACTTTTCTGGAGGCAATTCCTGGTTTTCCAGGAATATTCCCAGGAAATTTCCCACTTTTCCAGGGGTAATTCCCAATTTTCCACACCCAATTCCCAATTTTCCAGGAAAATTCCCAAATTCCCAGGCATAATTCCCCATTTTCTGGGAGTAATTCCCCAATTTCCAGGTGTAAATCCCGAATTTCCAGGGTAATTCCCGAAGTTCCAGAAACAATTCCTGATTTTCAAGAGCCAATTCTTGCTTTTCTTTGGGAAATTCCCAATTTTCTGGGGGCAATTTCTGCTTTTCCAGGGGTAATTCCCAATTTTCCAGAGCCAATTCCCACTTTTCCAGGGGTAATTCCCAAATTTCCATGAGAATTCCCAACTTCCCAGAGCCAATTCTTGTTTTTCTGGAGTAATTCCCAATTTTCCAGGGGTAATTCCCACTTTTCTCAGGCTATTTCCCCAATCTTCAGGAAAATTCCCAACTTTCCAGGGCTAATTCCCAAATTTCCAGAGACAATTCCCAATTTTCAAGAGCCAATCCTGCTTTTTTGGGGGAATTCCCGATTTTCCAAGAAAATTCCCAGATTTCTGGGGATAATCCCCCATTTTCCAGGAAAATTCCCAATTTTCCGTGCAATTCCTGAATTTCCAGTGGCAATTCCCACTTTTCCAGGGCCAATCCCTAAATTTCCAGGGTAATTCCCAATTTTCCAGGGTAATTCCCACTTTTCCAGGCAGAATTTTCAATTTTCTGGGGATAATTCCTGAATTTCCAGTGGTAATTCCCAAAATTTGGCCAATTTTTCTCCATTTTCCTGCTTTTCCCATTTTTCCCACTTTCTCTCTGTTTATTCCCATTTTTCCCAGGTTTTCCCCCAATTTTTTCTCAATTTTTCCATTTTCCTCTCCACTTTTCCCAATTTTCCCACTTCCCCCCCAATTTTCTCCCATTTTTTCCCAGTTTTTTTCAATTCTTCCCAATTTCTCTCCCATTTTTTCCCAGTTTTCCCTCGAGTTTTTCCCAGTTTTTCCCATTTCCCCCCTCAGTTTTTCCCATTTTCCCCCCAATTTTTCCAGTTTTTTCTTTTCCCAATTTTCCCACTTTTCCCTAATTCTTCCCATTTTTCCTTCCCAATTTTATTCCCCTCCAATTTTTCCTGATTTTCCCACTTTTTCCCAATTTTTCTCCCCCTTTTTTTCCCAATTTTTCCCTCCCAGTTTTTCCCAATTTTTCCTCTTTTTTCCCAGTTTTCCCCCGAGTTTTTCCCAATTTTTCCAGTTTTCCCCAGTTCTTCCCCATTTTTCCCAATTTTTCCCTTTTTTCCCTTAATTCTTCACAGTTTTTTTCCTTTTTCTTCCCACTTTTTCCCAATTTTTCTCCCCCGTTTTTCCCCAATTCTTCTCAATTTTTCCCAATTTTCCCCCCAATTTTTCCCAATTTTCCCCCCAATTTTTCCCCGTTTTTCCAGGTTTTCCCAAGTTTTTCCCAGTTTTTCCCAATTTTCCCCGTTTTTCCTCCGTTCTTCCCAATTTTTTTTCTGTTTTGCTCAGGTTTTCCCCCCACCATTTTTTCCCAGTTTTTTCTGCTTTTTCCCAACTTTTCTCCCCCCTTTTTCCCAATTTTCCCCTCCCATTTTCCCCAATTTTTTCCTTTTTTTTTTTCTGCTTTTTCCCAATTTTTCTGTCCCATTTTTCCCAATTTTTCCCTCCCAGTTTTTTCCCATTTTTTCCCTTTTTTTTTTGTTTTTTCCCAATTTTTCTCCCCAATTTCTTCCCAATTTTTCCCTCCCATTTTTCCCATTTTTTTCTGGTTTTTCCCAATTTTTCTCCCCCATTTTCCCCAATTTTTCCTCCCCATTTTTCCCCATTTCCCCCCTCAGTTTTTCCCATTTTCCCCCAATTTTCCAGTTTTTTCTTTTCCCCATTCTTCCCAGTTTTTCCCCCAACTTTTGGCCAATTTTTCTCCATTTTCCTGCTTTTCCCATTTTTTCCCACTTTCTCTCTCTTTATTCCCATTTTTCCCAATTTTTTCCCAATTTTCCCCATTTCTCTCACCCCAATTTCCCAAATTTTTCCCAATTTTTCCCAGTTTTTCCCAAATCTTTTCCCCCCTGTTTTTCCCAGGTTTCCCCCCAGGTTTCCCCCCCTCAATTTTTCCCAGTTTTTTCTCTTTTTTCCCAATTTTCCCCTCCCATTTTTCCCAATTTTCCCCCTCCATTTCCCAATTTTTTTCCTCATTTTTTCCTGTTTTTCCCCAATTTTCCCCCTCCGTTTTCCCAATTTTTTCCTCATTTTTTCCCAATTTTTTCCCAATTTCCCCCCCCCAATTTTCCCCACTTTTTCCCCCTCCATTTTTCCCAGTTCTTCCCAATTTTCCCAATTTCTCCACCCCAATTTCCCCAATTTTTCCCCAATTTTTTCCCAGTTTTTCCCAAACCTTTTCCCCCCACTTTTTCCCCCTCAATTTTTCCCAGTTTTTTCCTCTTTTTTCCCAATTTTCCCCTCCCATTTTCCCAATTTTTCCCCCTCCATTTTCCCATTTTTCCCCTCCATTTTCCCATTTTTTTCCAATTTTTCCCCCCAATTTTTCCCCATTTTTCCCCCTCTGTTCTTCCCAAATTTTCCCCCCATTTTTTCCCAATTTTTCCCAATTTTCTCCCCAATTTTCCCATGATTTTTCCCATTTTTTTCCCATGATTTTCCCATGATTTTTCCCATTTTTTTCCCATGATTTTCCCATGATTTTCCCATGATTTTTCCCACGATTTTCCCACGATTTTCCCATGATTTTCCCAATATTTCCCCCGATTTTCCCTGACCTTTCCGTGTTTTCTCTCTGCAGCTGATCCAGTTCCTGATCTCCCTGGTCCAATCCAACCGGATCCTGGGTGTCAAGAGGAAAATGTGAGAGAAATTCCCAAAAATTCCCCAAAATCCCCCAAAAATTCCCCAAAATTCCCAAAAATCCCCCAAAATTCCCCAAAAATCCCCAAAAATTCCCCAAAATTCCCCAAAATCCCCAAAAATCCCCCAAAATTCCCCAAAATTCCCCCAAAATTCGGGACTGGGACCCCTCAAATCCCAAAACTCCTGGAAGGGGCCGGGCTGGGCCTTGGGAATTCCTTGGGAATTCCTGGAATTTCTGTTTTTCCTGGGAAAATTGGGATTCCCAAAAATCCGGGAATTCGGGGATTTTCCCAGGGATGGAGCAGCCCCTGGAATTCTCTGGGAATTCTTTCCCAAAATTCCCAAATCTGTTCCTAAGCCCCTCTCTCCTGGAAAAACCCTGGAAAAATCCAGGAAAATTCCAGAAAAAATCCTAAAAAAACCCTGGAAAACCCCAGGAAAAATCCTGAAAAAAAAGGTGGGAAAACCCCAGGAAAAATCCTAAAAAAACCTGGGAAAACCCTTGGAAAAATCCTGAAAATTCCAGAAAAAATCCTGGAAAAACCCCAGGAAAAATCCTAAAAAAACCTGGGGAAAACCCTTGGAAAAATCCTAAAAAAAACCTGGGAAAACCCTTGGAAAAATCCTGAAAATCCCAGAAAAAATTCCTGGATAAACCCTGGAAAAATCCTAAAAAAAAAAAACTGGAAAAAACCTGGGAAAACACCTGAAAAATCCCTGGGGAAAAAAACCTGGAAAAACCCCTGGAAAAATCCTAAAAAAACCTGGGAAAAGCCCTGGAAAAATCCTAAAAAAAAAACTGGGAAAAGCCCTGGAAAAATCCAGGAAAATTCCAGAAAAAAAAACCTGAAAAGACCCTGGAAAAAACCCTGGAAAAACCTGGGAAAAACCTGGGAAAACACCTGAAAAATCCCTGGGGAAAAACCCCTGGAAAAATCCTAAAAAAAAACTGGAAAAAACCCTGGAAAATCCTGGAAAAACCCCAGGAAAAATCCTAAAAAAACCTGGAAAACCCCTGGAAAAATCCAGGAAAATTCCAGAAAAAAAAACCTGAAAAGACCCTGGAAAAAAAACCTGGAAAATCCTGGGAAAATCCCTGGAAAAATCCTGAAAAAACCTGGAAAAAAATCCTGGAAATACCCCAGGAAAAATCATAAAAAAACCTGGGAAAAGCCCTGGAAAAATCCAGGAAAATTCCAGAAAAAAACCTGAAAAGACCCTGGGAAAAACCCTGGGAAAACCCTGAAAACCCCTGGAAAATAACTGGAAAAACCCTGGGAAAAACCCCAGATAAAAATGGGAAAAAATCCTGGGAAAATCCTGAAGAACTCCTGGAAAAACCCAGGAAAATTCCAGAAAAAAATTGAGAAAATCCCCAGAAAATCCCTGGAAAAATCCTGAAAAATTCCCAAAAAATCCTGGAAAAACACCAGGAAAAAACCCTGGAAAAATCCAAAAGAGTCCCTGGAAAAATCCAGGAAAAACCCTGAAAAAAACCTGGAAAAAAAACTGGAAAAAACCCTGGAAAAATCCTGAAAAATTCCCAAAAAATCCCTGAAAAACCCCAGGAAAAATCCAGGAAAACCCCTGGAAAAATCCATGAAAATCCCAGGAAAAATCCTGGGAAACCCCAGGGGAAAACTCTGGAAAAATCCATGGAAAAGCACTGAAAATCCCAGAAAAAATCCTGGAAAAATCCTGAAAATCCCAGAAAAAATCCTGGAAAAAATCCCAGATTTTATTTGGAATTCCACCCCCTGATGCTTTTTCCAGGATTTTCCCCATTTTTTGGGATTTATCCCAGTTTTTTTTGGGAATTATCCATTTTTTCGGGGATTTATCCCAGGGTTTTTTGGGATTTATCCTGGGGTTTTTTGGGATTTATCCCGGTTTTTTGGGGGGATTTATCCTGGGGTTTTGGGGAATTATCCCGGGGTTTTTTTGGGAATTATCCCAGGGTTTTTTTGGGATTTATCCCAGGTTTTTTTGGGATTTATCTCAGGATTTTTTTGCCATTTATCCCGGTTTTTTGGGAATTATCCCAGGGTTTTTTTGGGATTTATCCTGGTTTTTCTTTGGGAATTCCATCCCCTGATGCTTTTCCCGGGATTTTCCCCATTTCTTGGGAATTTTCCTGGGGTTTTTTTGGGATTTATCCCGGGGTTTTTTGGAGGGGGATTTATCCCAATTTTTTGGGATTTTTCCCGGTTTTTTGGGGGGATTTATCCTGGTGTTTTTTGGGAATTATCCCAGGGTTTTTGGGAATTGCAGCCCCTGATGCTTTTCCCAGGATTCTCCCCATTTTTTGGGATTTATCCCGTTTTTTGGGGGGATTTATCCCAGTTTTTTTGGGAATTATCCCAGGTTTTATTTGGGAATTGCAGCCCCTGATGGTTTCCCTGGGATGTTCCCCATTTTTTGGGAATTATCCCAGGTTTTTTTGGGAATTATCCTGGGTTGTTTTTGAGATTTATCCCGGTGGTTTTTTTGGGAATTCCATCCCCTGATCCTTTTCCCAGAATTTTTCCCCTTTTTGGGATTTATCCCGGGTTTTTTTGGGATTTATCCCAGGGTTTCTTGGGGGATTTATTCCAGTTTTTTGGGTAGGGATTTTCCCGGTTTTTTTGGGATTTATCCCATTATTTTTTGGGAATTCCATCCCCATATCCTTTTCCTGGGATTTTCACCATTTTTTGGGATTTATCCCAGTTTTTTGGGGGGATTTATCCCGGGTTTTTTTGAGATTTATCCTGGATTTTTTGGGGATTTATCCTGGGTTTTTTTAGGTATTTATTCTGGGGTTTTTTTTTGGGATTTTTCCCGTTTTTTTGGGGATTTATCCCAGTGGTTTTTTGGAATTGCAGCCCCTGATCCTTTTCCTGGGATTTTCCCCATTTTTGGGGATTTATCCCAGGTTTTTTTGGGGAGGGATTTATCCCAGGTTTTTTTTGGGATTTATCTCAGGGTTTTTTTTGCATTTATCCTGGTTTTTTTGGGGATTTATCCCGGTTTTTTTGGGATTTATCCTGGGTTTTTTTGGGGATATATCCCAGGTTTTTTGGGAATTCCATCCCCTGATGCTTTTCCCGGGATTTTCCCCATTTTTTGGGATTTATCCCAGGGGTTTTTTGGGGGGATTTATCCCGGTTTTTTTTTATTTATCCTGGGTTGTTTTTGAGGTTTATCCCATTTTTCGGGGGGGGGGGAATTAGCCTGGGTTTTTTTGGGATTTATCCCAGGTTTTTTTTTTGGGAATTATCCCGGGGGTTTTTTGGGATTTATCGTGGTTTTTTGGGGATTTATCCCATTATTTTTTGGGATTTATCCTGGTGTTTTTTGGGATTTATCCCGGGTTTTTTTTTTATTTATCCCAGTGTTTTTGGGGATTTATCCCATGATTTTTTGCGATTTATCCTGGGTTTTTGGGGGATTTATCCCAGGTTTTTTTTGGGATTTATCTCGGGTTTTTTGGAATTTAGCCCATTATTTTTAGGGATTTATCCTGGGTTTTTTGGGGATTTATCCAGGGTGTTTTTGGGGATTTCTCCCATTATTTTTGGGATTGACCCCATGATTTTGGGATTGCAGCCCCCTGATGCTGAACGACGGCGCAGCCGCACATTCCATGCCCAAGTACAGCCGGCAATTCTCCCTTGAGCACCACGGGAACGCCAACTATGCCGTGAGAATTCCCAAAAAAATTATGGGATTGATGGGATTGAGATTGGGGTTTATTGGGGTTTATGGGGATTGATTGGGACTTATTGGGATTGATTGGGATTTACTGGGAATTACTGGGTTTATTGGGATTGATTGGGATTGATTGGGGTTTATTGGGAACTCCCTGGAGCACCACGGCAACGCCAACTATGCCGTGAGAATTCCCAAACTTTTATGGGATTGATGGGAATTATTGGGAATTATTGGGGTTTATTGGGAACTCCCTGGAGCACCACGGGAATGCCAGCTACACCGTGAGAATTCCCAAAAAAATTATGGGATTGAGATTGGGAATTAGTGGGATTGATTGGGATTGATTGGGAACTCCCTGGAGCACCACGGGAATGCCAACTATGCTGTGAGAATTCCCAAACTTTTATGGGATTGATTGGAATTGAGTGGGATTGATTGGGACTTATTGGGATTTATTGGGATTTACTGGGAATTATTGGGGTTTATTGGGGTTTATTGGGATTTATTGGGGTTCATTGGGAACTCCCTGGAGCACCACGGGAACGCCAACTACGCCGTGAGAATTCCCAAAAAATTATGGGATTGATGGGATTGAGATTGGGGTTTATTGGGGTTTATGGGGATTGATTGGGACTTACTGGGATTGATTGGGATTTACTGGGAATTATTGGGGTTGATTGGGATTGATTTGGATTGATTGGGGTTTATTGGGAACTCCCTGGAGCACCACGGGAACGCCAACTACGCCGTGAGAATTCCCAAAAATTATGGGATTGAGATTGGGAATTAGTGGGATTGATTTGGATTCATTGGGATTTATTGGGGTTTATTGGGAACTCCCTGGAGCACCACGGGAATTCCAACTACGCTGTGAGAATTCCCAAAAATTATGGGATTGATTGGGAATTATTGGGATTGATTGGGGTTTATTTGGGTTCATTGGGATTGATTGGGAATTACTGGGATTGATAGGGATTGATTGGGAACTCCCTGGAGCACCACAGCAACGCCAACTACGCCGTGAGAATTCCCAAAAATTATGGGATTGATTGGGAATTATTGGGATTGATTGGGAATTATTGGGATTGATTGGGAATTATTGGGGTTTATTGGGGTTTATTGGGATTGATTGGGATTCACTGGGGTTTATTGGGATTGATTGGAGTTCATTGGGATTCATTGGGGTTCATTGGGAACTCCCTGGAGCACCACGGCAACGCCAACTACGCCGTGAGAATTCCCAAGAAATTATGGGATTGAGTGGGATTGAGTGGAATTGAGTGGGAATTAGTGGGGTTTATTGGGATTGATGGGGATTCATTGGGATTGATTGGGAACTCCCTGGAGCACCACGGCAACACCAACTACGCCGTGAGAATTCCCAAACTTTTATGGGATTGAGATTGGGGTTTATTGGGATTGATTGGGGTTTATTTGGGTTCATTGGGATTGATTGGGAATTACTGGGATTGATAGGGATTGATTGGGAACTCCCTGCAGCACCACGGGAACTCCAACTACGCCGTGAGAATCCCAAACTTTTATGGGATTGAGTGGGAATTATTGGGATTGATTGGGATTGATTGGGATTGATGGGGATTCATTGGGATTCATTGGGGTTCATTGGGAACTCCCTGGAGCACCATGGGAATGCCAACTATGCCGTGAGAATTCCCAAAAAAATTATGGGATTGATGGGAATTATTGGGATTGATTGGGAATTATTGGGATTGATTGGGAATTACTGGGTTTATTGGGATTGATTGGGAACTCCCTGGAGCACCACGGGAACGCCAACTACGCCGTGAGAATCCCAAAAAAATTATGGGATTGAGTGGGGTTGAGTGGGATTGATTGGGGTTGATTGGGGTTTCTTGGGAATGGGATGTATTAGGATTGGGATTTATTGGGATTCATTGAGATTGATTGGGATTCATTGAGATTGATTGGGGTTTATTTGGGTTCATTGGGATTGATTGGGGTTTATTGGGATTCATTGGGAACTCCCTGGAGCACCACGGCAACGCCAACTACGCCCTGAGAATTCCAAACTTTTATGGGATTGATTGGGATTGAGGGGAACTGAGTGGGATTGATTGGGACTTATTGGGATTGATTGGGATTTACTGGGAATTATTGGGGTTTATTGGGATTTATTGGGGTTTATTGGGAACTCCCTGGAGCACCACGGGAACTCCAACTACGCCATGAGAATCCCAAACTTTTATGGGATTGAGTGGGAATTATTTGGGTTGATTGGGATTGATTGGGGTTTATTGGGAACTCCCTGGAGCACCATGGGAACGCCAACTACGCTGTGAGAATCCCAAAAAAATTATGGGATTGAGTGGGAATTAGTGGGGTTTATGGGGATTTATTTGGATTCATTGGGATTTATTGGGAATTGCTGGGTTTATTGGGATTTATTGGGGTTCATTGGGGTTTATTGGGTTTCATTGGGAACTCCCTGGAGCACCACGGCAACGCCAACTACGCCGTGAGAATTCCCAGAAAATTATGGGATTGAGGGGGGTTTATTGGGATTGATTGGGAATTAGTGGGGTTTATTGGGATTTATTTGGGTTCATTGGGATTGATTGGGATTGATTGGGGTTTATTGGGAACTCCCTGGAGCACCACGGCAACGCCAACTACGCTGTGAGAATTCCCAAACTTTTATGGGATTGAGATTGGGGTTTATTGGGATTGATTGGGGTTTATTTGGGTTCATTGGGATTGATTGGGAATTACTGGGATTGATAGGGATTGATTGGGAACTCCCTGCAGCACCACGGGAACTCCAACTACGCCGTGAGAATCCCAAACTTTTATGGGATTGAGTGGGAATTATTGGGATTGATTGGGATTGATTGGGATTGATGGGGATTCATTGGGATTCATTGGGGTTCATTGGGAACTCCCTGGAGCACCATGGGAATGCCAACTATGCCGTGAGAATTCCCAAAAAAATTATGGGATTGATGGGAATTATTGGGATTGATTGGGAATTATTGGGATTGATTGGGAATTACTGGGTTTATTGGGATTGATTGGGAACTCCCTGGAGCACCACGGGAACGCCAACTACGCCGTGAGAATCCCAAAAAAATTATGGGATTGAGTGGGGTTGAGTGGGATTGATTGGGGTTGATTGGGGTTTCTTGGGAATGGGATGTATTAGGATTGGGATTTATTGGGATTCATTGAGATTGATTGGGATTCATTGAGATTGATTGGGGTTTATTTGGGTTCATTGGGATTGATTGGGGTTTATTGGGATTCATTGGGAACTCCCTGGAGCACCACGGCAACGCCAACTACGCCCTGAGAATTCCAAACTTTTATGGGATTGATTGGGATTGAGGGGAACTGAGTGGGATTGATTGGGACTTATTGGGATTGATTGGGATTTACTGGGAATTATTGGGGTTTATTGGGATTTATTGGGGTTTATTGGGAACTCCCTGGAGCACCACGGGAACTCCAACTACGCCATGAGAATCCCAAACTTTTATGGGATTGAGTGGGAATTATTTGGGTTGATTGGGATTGATTGGGGTTTATTGGGAACTCCCTGGAGCACCATGGGAACGCCAACTACGCTGTGAGAATCCCAAAAAAATTATGGGATTGAGTGGGAATTAGTGGGGTTTATGGGGATTTATTTGGATTCATTGGGATTTATTGGGAATTGCTGGGTTTATTGGGATTTATTGGGGTTCATTGGGGTTTATTGGGTTTCATTGGGAACTCCCTGGAGCACCACGGCAACGCCAACTACGCCGTGAGAATTCCCAGAAAATTATGGGATTGAGGGGGGTTTATTGGGATTGATTGGGAATTAGTGGGGTTTATTGGGATTTATTTGGGTTCATTGGGATTGATTGGGATTGATTGGGGTTTATTGGGAACTCCCTGGAGCACCACGGCAACGCCAACTACGCTGTGAGAATTCCCAAACTTTTATGGGATTGAGATTGGGGTTTATTGGGATTGATTGGGGTTGGGATTGGGATTCATTGGGAACTCCCTGGAGCACCACGGCAACGCCAACTACGCCGTGAGAATTCCCAAAAAATTATGGGATTGATTGGGAATTAGTGGGGTTTATTGGGAATTATTGGGATTTATTGGGGTTTATTGGGAGCTCCCTGGAGCACCACGGGAATTCCAACTATGCCGTGAGAATTCCAGAAATTATGGGATTGATGGGGATTGAGTGGGGTTTTTTGGGGTTGATTGGGATTGATTGGGATTGATTGGGATTTACTTGGAATGGGATTTATTGGGATTGATTGGGATTTATTGGGAATGGGATTTATTGGGAATTCCCTGGAGCACCACAGCAATTCCAATTCCGTGAGAATTCAGAAAAATTTACGGGATTTTCTGGGATTGATGGGCTTGGGATTCATTGGGAATGGGATGGATTGGGATTGATTGGGATTTATTGGGGTTTATTGGGATTGGGATTTGTGGGACTGGGATTGATTGGGATTTATTTGGATTTATTCAAATTTAGTGAGGTTGGGATTGGGATTTTTTGGGATTTATTGGGGTTTATTGGGATTTATTGGGGTTTATTGGGAACTCCCTGGAGCACCACGGCAACACCAACTATGCCGTGAGAATCCCAAAAAATTTATGGGATTGATTGGGGTTTATGGGGATTTATTGGGATTGATTCGGGATTTATTGGGAATGGGATTTGTGGGATTGGGATTGATTGGGATTTATTGGGATTTATTCAAATTTAGTGTGGTTGGGATTGGGATTGATTTGGGATTCACTGGGAATGGGATTTGTGGGATTGGGATTTATTGGGAACTCCCTGGAGCACCACAGGAATTCAAATTATTCCGTGAGAATTCCCAAACTTTTATGGGATTTCTTGGGATTGATGGGCTTGGGATTCATTGGGAATGGGATTTGGTGGGATTGATTGGGAATGGGATTTGTGGGAATGGGATTGATTGAGATTTATTGGGAATGGGATTCATTTGGATTGGGATTGGGATTTATTAGAATTTATTGGGATTGGGATTCATTGGGAATGGGATTTTTGGGGATTGGGATTTATTGGGATTGGTTGATTTGGGATTTTTTGGGATTTATTTGGATTTGGATTCATTGGGAATGGGATTTACTGGGATTGATTGGGAACTCCCTGGAGCACCACAGCAATGCCAACTGTGCCGTTAGAATTCCCAAAAATTTATGGGATTGATTGGGATTGATTGGGGTTTATTGGGATTGCTTGGGATTCATTGGGATTGGGATTTGTGGGATTGGGATTTGTTGGGATTGGTGGAATTGGGATTTTTTGGGATTTATTTGGATTCAATGGGATTGTGATTTATTGGGATTGAGATTTGGGGATTGGGATTTATTGGGATTTTGTGGCACTGGGATTTATTGGGAATGGGATTGGCAGGATTGGGATTTATTGGGATTTGTTGGGTTTGGGATTTGGTGGGAATGGGATTTATTGGGATTTATTTGGCTTGGGATTTTTTTGGGATTGGGACTTTTTGGGATTGGGACTTTTTGTGATTGGGATTTTTTTGTGTTTGGGATTTTTTGGGGTTGTTTGTGTTTGGGTTTTTTGGGATTGTTTGTGTTTGGGATTTTTTGGGATTGGGACGTTTTGGGAATGGGATTTTTTTTGGGAGTGGGATTCATTGGGATTGGGATTTTTTATGATTGGGATTTTTTTGTGTTTGGGATTTTTTGGGGTTGTTTGTGTTTAAGTTTTTTGGGATTGTTTGTGTTTGTGATTTTTTGGGATTGGGACGTTTTGGGAATGGGATTTTTTTGGGATTGGGACTTTTTGGGATTGGGACTTTTTGTGATTGGGATTTTTTGTGATTGGGATTTTTTTGTGTTTGGGATTTTTTAGGATTGTTTGTGTTTGCGATTTTTTGGGATTGGGACGTTTTGGGAATGGGATTTTTTTGGGATCGGGATTTTTTGGGAATGGGATTTTTTGGGATTGGGACGTTTTGGGAATGGGATTTTTTTGGGATTGGGACTTTTTGGGATTGGGACTTTTTGTGATTGGGATTTTTTTGGGAGTGGGACTTTTTGGGATTGGGATTTTTTTGTGTTTGTGATTTTTTGGGGTTGTTTCCCATTCCCCATTCCCGTTCCCCTCGCAGGCCCCGGCCCCGGCGCTGTCGGGCCCCGCGCTGCTGGCGGCCGATGCCGGCCCCAACTGCGGCCCCATCATCTCGGACGTGACCGAGCTGCCCCCGTCCAGCCCCGAGGCCTCCCCGGGAGGGAGCCTGGACGGAAGGTGGGAAAATTCCCGGAATTCTGTGGGAATGGGAGCCTGAAAATCCCCTGGGAATGGGATCCTGAAAATCCCTGGGAATGGGGGAGGGAGCCTGGATGGAGGGTGGGGAGAATTCCCAGAATTCCGTGGGAATGGGAGCCTGAAAATCCCTGGGAATGGGGGAGGGAGCCTGGACAGAAGGTGGGCAGAATTCCCGGAATTCTGTGGGAATGGGAGCCTGAAAATCCCCTGGGAATGGGATCCTGAAAATCCCTGGGAATGGGGGAGGGAGCCTGGATGGAGGGTGGGGAGAATTCCCAGAATTCCGTGGGAATGGGAGCCTGAAAATCCCCTGGGAATGGGATCCCAAAATCCCCTGGGAATGGGGGAGGGAGCCAGGATGGAAGGTGGGCAGAATTCCCGGAATTCCATGGGAGAGAATTCCCAAAAATTCCCTGGGAATGGGGGAGGGAGCCTGGACGGAAGGTGGGAAAATTCCCGAAAATTCCATGGGAGAGAATTCCCGAAATTCCCCTGGGGATGGGATCTCAAAATTCCCTGGGAATGGGGGAGGGAGTCTGGACGGAAGGTGGGGAGAATTCCTGGAATTCCATGGGAATGGGAGCCTGAAAATGCCCTGGGAATGGGGGAGGGCAGGTGGGGAGAATTCCCAAAAATCCCCATGGGAATGGGGGAGGGAGCCTGGACGGAAGGTGGGCAGAATTCCCAAAAATCCCTTGGGAATGGGACCTCAAAATTCCCTGGGAATGGGGGAGGGCAGGTGGGGAGAATTCCCAAAAATTCCCTGGGAATGGGAGCCTGAAAATTCCATGGGAATGAGGGAGGGAGCCTGGACAGAAGGTGGGCAGAATTCCCGGAATTCCATGGGAGAGAATTCCTGAAATTCCATGGGAATGGGATCTCAAAATTCCCTGGGAATGGGGGAGGGAGCCTGGACGGAAGGTGGGCAGAATTCCCGGAATTCCGTGGGGTCCGTGGGGAGAATTCCCGAAATTCCATGGGAATGAGGGAGGGAGCCAGGATGGAAGGTGGGGAGAATTCCCGGAATTCCATGGGAGAGAATTCCCAAAAATCCCCTGGGAATGGGAGCCTGAAAATCCCTGGGAATGGGGGAAGGCAGGTGGGGAGAATTCCCAAAATTCCATGGGAATGGGATCCCAAAATCCCTTGGGAATGGGGGAGGGAGCCTGGATGGAAGGTGGGGAGAATTCCTGAAATTCCATGGGAGAGAATTCCCGAAAATTCCCTGGGAATGGGGGAGGGCAGGCGGGGAGAATTCCCAAAATTCCATGGGAGAGAATTCCCAAAAATTCCCTGGGAATGGGGGAGGGAGCCTGGACAGAAGGTGGGGAGAATTCCCAAAATCCCCTGGGAATGGGATCCCAAAATCCCCTGGGAATGGGGGAGGGAGCCTGGATGGAAGGTGGGGAGAATTCCCGAAATTCCATGGGAGAGAATTCCCAAAAATGCCCTGGGAATGGGAAGGGAGCCTGGATGGAAGGTGGGCAGAATTCCTGAAAATTCCATGGGAGAGAATTCCTGAAATTCCATGGGAATGGGGGAGGGAGCCTGGATGGAAGGTGGGGAGAATTCCCGGAATTCCATGGGAATGGGATCCTGAAAATCCCTGGGAATGGGATCCCAAAATCCCCTGGGAATGGGGGAGGGAGCCTGGAGGGAAGGTGGGGAGAATTCCCAAAATTCCATGGGAGAGAATTCCCGAAAATCCCCTCGGAATGGGGGAGGGCAGGTGGGGAGAATTCCCAAAAATCCCCTGGGAATGGGAGCCTGAAATTCCCTTGGGAATGGGGGAGGGAGCCTGGATGGAAGGTGGGGAGAAATCCCAGAATTCCATGGGAGAGAATTCCCAAAATCCCCTGGGAATGGGAGCCTGAAAATTCCCTGGGAATGGGGGAGGGAGCCTGGATGGAAGGTGGGGAGAATTCCCGAAAATTCCATGGGAGAGAATTCCCAAAATTCCATGGGAATGAGGGAGGGAGCCAGGATGGACGGTAGGGAGAATTCCCAAAATTCCATGGGAGAGAATTCCCAAAATTCCATGGGAGAGAATTCCCAAAATTCCATGGGAATTAGGGAGGGAGCCTGGACGGAAGGTGGGGAGAATTCCCAGAATTCCATGGGAGGGAATTCCCAAAATTCCCCTGGGGATGGGATCTCAAAATTCCCTGGGAATGGGGGAGGGAGCCTGGATGGAAGGTGGGGAGAATTCCCGGAATTCCATGGGAATGGGAGCCTGAAAATCCCTGGGAATGGGATCCCAAAATCCCAAAATAATGGGATCCCATTATTTTCCCCATTATTTTCCCCATTATTTTCCCATTATTATTCCCATTATTTCCCCATTATTATTCCCCCATTATTATTCCCCCATTATTTTCCAATATTTCCCCATTTTCCCAATATTTCCCCATTATTTCCCCATTATTTTCCCATTATTTCCCCATTATTTTTCCCCATTATTCCTCCATTATTTTCCCAATATTTCCCCATTATTTCCCCATTATTTTCCCATTATTTCCCCATTATTTTTCCCCATTATTCCTCCATTATTTTCCCCATTATTTCCCCATTATTATTCCCCAATTATTCCCCCATTATTATTCCCCCATTATTATTCCCCCATTATTATTCCCCCATTATTATTCCCCCATTATTATTCCCCCATTATTATTCCCATTATTATTCCCCCATTATTATTCCCCATTATTCCCCCATCATTTCCCCCATTATTATTCCCATTATTCCCCCATTATTCCCCCATTATTTTCCCATTATTATTCCCCCATTCTTTTTCCCTTATTATTTCCCCCATTATATCCCCGTTGTTATTCCCATTATTTCCCCCATTATTATTCCCATTGTTATTCCCCCATTATTATTCCCCCATTATTCCCCCATTATTACCCCCGTTATTAACCCCATTATTTCCCCATTATTCCCCCATTATTATTACCCCATTATTATCCCCCCTTATTATTCCCATTATTATTCCCCCATTATTCCCCCATTATTTTCCCCATTATTTCCCCATTATTTTCCCATTATTATTCCCCATTATTCCCCCATTATTAGTCCCCCATTATTATTCCCCAATTATTCCCCCATTATTCCCCATCATTTCCCCCATCATTTCCCCATTATTCCCCCATTATTTTCCCATTATTCCCCAATTATTTTCCCATTATTTCCCCATTATTATTCCCCCATCATTATTCCCATTATTCCCCCCATTATTATTTCCCCCATTATTATTCCCCCATTATTTCCCCATTATTCCCCCATTATTATCCCCATTATTATTCCCCCATTATTCCCCCATTATTTTCCCATTATTCCCCCATCATTCCCCCATTATTATCCCCCATTATTTTCCCCATTATTATTCCCCCATTATTATTCCCCCATTATTATTCCCCCATTATTATTCCCCCATTATTATTCCCATTATTCCCCCATTATTATTCCCCCATTATTCCCCCATCATTTCCCCATTATTATTATTCCCATTATTCCCCCATTATTCCCCCATTATTTTCCCATTATATTCCCCCATTCTTTTCCCCCATTATTTCCCCCATTATATCCCCGTTGTTATTCCCATTATTTGCCCCATTATTATTCCCATTGTTATTCCCCCATTATTCCCCCGTTATTATTTCCCCCATTATTATTCCCCCTTTGTTATTCCCCCTTTGTTATTCCTCCATTATTACCCCATTATTACCCCCGTTATTAACCCCATTATTTCCCCATTATTCCCCCATTATTATTACCCCATTATTATCCCCCCTTAATATTCCCATTATTATTCCCCCATTGTTCCCCCATTATTATTCCCCCATTATTCCCCCATTTTCCCCCCATTATTTCCCCCATTATTCCCCCATTATTTCCCCATTATTTCCCCATTATTCCCCCATTATTCCCCCATCCTTTTTGCCCATTATTCCCCCATTATTCCCCCATTATTTTTCCCATTATTCCCCAATTATTTTCCCCATTATTTCCCAATTATTGCTGCATTATTTCCCCATTATTATTCCCCCATTATTTTCCCCATTATTATTCCCCCATTATTATTCCCCCATTATTATTCCCCCAATTTTTTTCCCATTATTTCCCCATTACTTTCCAATATTTTCCCATTATTTTTCCCAATATTTTCCCATTATTTTTCCCATTTCCCCCAATCCTATTATTTCCCCATTATTTCCCCATTATTATTTCCCCATTATTTCCCCATTATTATTCCCCCATTGTTATTCCCCCATTGTTATTCCCCCATGATTTCCCCATGATTATTCCCATTATTTCCCCATTATTTTCCCCATTATTTTTCCCCCATTATTATTCCCCCATTATTATTTCCATTAATCTCCCATTATTCCCCCATTATTTTCCTCATTATTTCCCCATTATTTCCCATTATTTTCCCCATTATTTCCCCATTACTTTCCAATATTTTCCCATTATTTTTCCCATTTCCCCCAATCCCATTATTTCCCCATTATTTCCCCATTATTATTCCCCCATTATTCCCCCATTAATTTCCCCATTATTATTCCCCCATTATTATTCCCCATTGTTATTCCCCCATTATTTCCCCATGATTATTCCCATTATTTTTCCCATTATTTTCCCCGTTATTTTCCCCATTACTTTCCAATATTTTCCCATTATTTTTCCCAATATTTTCCCATTATTTTTCCCATTTCCCCCAATCCCATTATTTCCCATTATTCCCCATTATTTTCCCCATTATTCCCCCATTGTTCCCCCATTATTAATCCCCCATTATTATTCCCCCATTATTATCCCCCATTGTTATTTCCCCATTGTTATTCCCCCATTATTACTCCCCATTATTATTCCCCCATTATTTCACCCATTATTATCCCCATTATTCCCCATTATTATCCCCATTGTTATTCCCCCATTATTATTTCCCCATTATTCCCCCATTATTATTCCACCATTATTATTCCCCCATTATTCCCCCATTATTTCCCCCATTATTTTTCCCATTATTTCCCCATTGTTATTTCCCCATTATTCCCTCATTATTATTCCCCCATTATTATTCCCCCATTATTATTCCCCCATTATTGTTTTCCCCATTATTCCCCCATTATTTTTCCCATTATTTCCCCATTATTTTCCTGTTATTTTCCCCATTATTTCCCCATTACTTTCCAATATTTTCCCATTATTTTTCCCAATATTTCCCCATTATTTCCCCATTATTATTCCCCCATTTTTATTCCCCCATTATTATTTCCCCATTATTTCCCCATTATTTTCCCCATTATTTCCCCATTATTTTTCCCAATTATTTTTCCCCATTATTTTTCCCCATTATTTTTCCCCATTATTCCCCCATCATTCCCCCATCATTCCCCCATTATTCCCCCATTATTCCCCCATTATTATTTCCATTATTCCCCCATTATTCCCCCACTATTTTCCCATTATTATTCCCATTATTATTCCCCATTATTATTCCCATTATTATTCCTGTCCCCATCCAGGAGCAGCCCGGGGATCCGGATCAAGGAGGAGCCTCCCAGCCCCACCCGGAGCCCGCAGGTGGAGGAGCCCAAGAGCGCCGGCAATTCCGGGAATTCTGGGAATTCCGGGAATTCCGAGACCCCCCTGTCCCCGTCCACCTTCATCGACTCCATCCTGCGGGAAAACGACTCCGGAGCCGCTCCCGGCAATCCCCAGGGCCAGGAAAAGTGCCTGAGCGTGGCCTGCCTCGACAAGTGAGCCCCGGTGTTCCCGACGGCATTCCCGGCATTCCCGACGGCATTCCCAACGTTCCCAGCATTCCCCACAGTCCTAACGTTTCCCACCATTCCCACATTCCCAACATCCCAAACGTTCCCAACAACATTCCCAACGTTTCCACCATTCCCAACGTTCCCCGCATTCCCGACAACATTCCCGACATTCCCAACGTTTCCACCATTCCCAACGTTCCCAGCATTCCCAGCATTCCCAACATTTCCAGCATTCCCGGCATTCCCGACATTCCTGACAACATTCCCGGCATTCCCAACATTTCCACCATTCCCAACATTCCCAACATCTCAAACGTTCCCAACATTCCCGGCATTCCCAGCGTTCCCGGCATTCCCGACAACATTCCCAACATTCCCGACGGCATTCCCAACATTCCCAACGTTTACAGCATTCCCAGCGTTCCCAACATTCCCAGCATTCCCGACGACATTCCCCACGTTCCCAACAACATTCCTGGCATTCCCAACGTTTCCAACATTCCCAACATTCCCAGCATTCCCGGCATTCCTGACAACATTCCCGGCATTCCCGACAACATTCCCGGCATTCCCGACAACATTCCCAACATTCCCCACATTCCCCACAGTCCTAACGTTTCCCAACATTCCCAGCGTTCCCAGCATTCCAAACATTCCCAACGTTCCCAGCATTCCCAGCATTCCTGACAACACTCCCAGCATTCCCAACATTCCCAGCGTTCCCAACATTCCCGGCATTCCAAACATTCCCAGCATTCCCGGCATTCCTGACAACATTCCCGGCATTCCCGACAACATTCCCGGCATTCCCGACAACATTCCCAACATTCCCCACATTCCCCACAGTCCTAACGTTTCCCAACATTCCCAGCGTTCCCAGCATTCCAAACATTCCCAACGTTCCCAGCATTCCCAGCATTCCTGACAACACTCCCAGCATTCCCAACATTCCCAGCGTTCCCAACATTCCCGGCATTCCAAACATTCCCAACATTCCCGGCATTCCCAACAACATTCCCAACGTTTCCGGCATTCCCAGCATTCCAAACATTCCCAACTTTCCCAACATTCCCAGCATTCCCGACATTCCCAACGTTTCCCGACATTCCCAGCATTCCAAACATTCCCAACGTTCCCAGCATTCCCAGCATTCCCGACATTCCTGACAACATTCCCGGCATTCCAAACATTCCCACCATTCCAAACATTCCCGACGACATTCCCAACGTTTCCACCATTCCCAACGTTCCCCGCATTCCCGGCATTCCCGACAACATTCCCGACGGCATTCCCAACGTTTCCATCATTCCCAACATTCCCCACATTCCCAACGTTCCCAGCATTCCCAACATTCCCCACAGTCCTAACGTTTCCCAACATTCCCAGCGTTCCCAGCATTCCAAACATTCCCAACGTTCCCAGCATTCCCGGCATTCCCAACATCTCAAACGTTCCCAACATTCCCGGCATTCCCAGCGTTCCCGACATTCCTGACAACATTCCCAGCATTCCCAACATTCCCAGCGTTCCCAACATTCCCAGCGTTCCCAACATTCCCCACATTCCCAACAACATTCCCAGCATTCCCAACGTTCCCAACATTCCCAACATTCCCGACAACATTCCCGACATTCCCAACAACATTCCCAACATTCCTGCCGTTCCCACCATTCCCAGCGTTCCAAACATTCCCCACATTCCCAACGTTTCCACCATTCCCAACATTCCCCACATTCCCAACAACATTCCTGGCATTCCCAACATCCCAAACGTTCCCAACATTCCCAACATCCCAAACGTTCCCAACATTCCCGACGTTCCCAGCATTCCCAGCTCAGGAAAAGCGGGAACAGGGAGGAATTCCCAGAATTTCAGGAATTTCCAGCTTGGGAAAAAGCAGGGGAGAGGGGCAGAATTCCTGGAATTCCCAGAATTCCTGGAATTTCCAGCTCAGGGAAAGTGGGAGAGGGGTGGAATTCACAGAATTCCCAAAATTCCCAGAATTCCTGGCTTGGGAAAAGCAGGTGCGGGGCAGAATTCCCGGAATTCCCAGCTCAGGAGAAGTAGGATCCGGATGGAATTCTGGGAATTCCCAGCAGGAGAAAAGAGGGAGCAGGGTGGAATTCCCGTTCCCGGTGTCCTGACCCCAATCCCAATCCCAGTTTTCCGGAATTCCCAATCCCAGTTTCCCAATCCCCATTTCCTGGTCCTGATCCCAGTTTCCCAATCCTGGATTCCCAAAATTCCTGTTCCCAGTTTCCTGGTCCCAGTTTCCCATTCCCTGTTTTCCCGATCCCAATCCCAGTTTCCTGTTCTCAGTTTCCCAATCCCATTCCCAATCCCCGTTTCCTGCTTCCAATCCTGGATTCCCAAAATTCCCATTCCCAGTTCCCAATCCCATTCCCAGTTTCCTGCTGCCATTCCCGGTTTCCTGACCCCATTCCCAATCCCAGTTTTCCAGAATTCCCAATCCCAGTTTCCCAATCCCCGTTTCCTGGTCCTGATCCCGGTTTCCCAATCCCAGTTTCCCAATCCCAGTTTCCCATTCCCGGTTTCCCAATCCCAGTTTCCCATTCCCGGTTTCCCAATCCCAGTTTCCCGCTTCCATTCCCAGTTTCTCAATCCTGGATTCCCAAAATTCCCATTCCCAGTTTCCCATTCCCGGTTTCCCGATCCCAATCCCAGTTTCCTGTTCTCAGTTTCCCAATCCCATTCCCAATCCCCGTTTCCTGCTTCCATTCCTGGTTTCTCAATCCTGGATTCCTGCTGATTCTGGTTGCTGTTGTTGATTCCCACTGTTCTCATTCCCGCTGTTCTCATTCCCACTGTTCATTCCCACTGTTGTTGTTTCTCATTCCCGCTGTTCTTTCCCGCTGTTCATTCCCACTGTTGATCATTCCCACAGTTGTTTCTCATTCCCATTGTTGCTGTTGTTATTCATTCCCCCCGTTGTTGTTCGTCATTCCGGCTGTTGTTGATCATTCCCGCTTGTTCTCATTCCCGCTGTTCATTCCCGCTGTTGTTGTTCATCATTCCCACTGATCATTCCAGCTGTTGTTGCTCATTCCCGCTGTTCATTCCCGCTGTTGTTTCTCATTCCCACTGTTCTCATTCCGGCTGTTGTTTGTCATTCCCGCTGCTCATTCCCGCTGTTGCTGTTGTTGTTCATTCCCGCTGTTCATTCTGGCTGTTGTTGATCATTCCCACTGTTCATTCCGGCTGTTGTTTGTCATTCCCCCCATTGTTGATCATTCCCACTGTTGTTGTTTGTCATTCCCGCTGGTCATTCCCGCTGTTGTTGTTCATTCCGGCTGTTGTTGTTCATTCCTGCTGTTCATTCCCGCTGTTGTTTCTCATTCCCGCTGTTCATTCCCGCTGTTGTTTCTCATTCCCGCTGTTCTCATTCCCGCTGTTCATTCCCGTTGTTGTTTCTCACTCCCGCTGTTCATTCCGGCTGTTGTTTCTCATTCCCACTGTTCATTCCGGCTGTTGTTTCTCATTCCCGCTGTTCTCATTCCCGCTGTTGTTCATTCCCCCCATTGTTTCTCATTCCCACTGTTCTCATTCCCGCTGTTGCTGTTGCTGTTGTTGTCAGGTCGGAGCTGAACGAGCACCTGGACACGATCGACTCCAGCCTGGACAATCTGCAGGCGCTGCTCAGCACCCACGGCTTCAGCATGGACAGCGCCCTGCTCGACGTGAGAGCCCCAAAATATCCCCAAAATATCCCCAAAATGTCCCTAAAATATCCCCAAAATATCCTCAAAATATCCCAAAAATATCCCCAAAAATATCCTCAAAATCCCCAGCGCCCTGCTCGATGTGAGGGTCCCAAAAATGCCCAAAATGTCCCCAAAGTCCCCAAAATCCCCAGTGCCCTGCTCGACGTGAGGGGTCCCAAAAATATCCCCAAAAATATCCCCAAAATGTCCCCAAAATATCCCCAAAATATCCTCAAAATATCCCAAAAATATCCCCAAAAATATCCTCAAAATCCCCAGCGCCCTGCTCGATGTGAGGGTCCCAAAAATATCCCCAAAATATCCCAAAATCTCCCCAAAATATCCCCAACATCCCCAGCGCCCTGCTCGACGTGAGGCTCCCAAAATGTCCCTAAAATATCCCCAAAATATCCCCAAAATCCCCCGCGCCCTGCTCGACGTGAGGCTCCCAAAATATTCCCAAAATATCCCCAAAATGTCCCCAAAATATCCCCAAAATATCCCCAAAATCCCCAGCACCCTGCTCGACGTGAGGGTCCCAAATATCCCAAAATATCCCCAAAATGTCCCCAAAATGTCCCCAAAAATATCCCAAAAATATCCCAAAAATATCCCAAAAATATCCCCAAAATCCCCAGCGCCCTGCTCGACCTGAGAGCTCCCAGAATTCCCAAAAATTCCCCAAAAATTCCAGCTGGGAATCCCCAAAATCCCCAGCACCCCCTGGGAATTCCCAATTTCCCAGCCCATTCCCACTGGAAATTCCCAGGATAAATCCATCCCTGCTCGACGTGAGCCTGACCCCCTCTGAAATTCCCAAAAATTCCCAAAATTCCCAGAATAAAAAACCCCCAGAATTCCCAAAAATTCCAACTGGGAATGCTCAAAGTCCCCAATTCCCAAAATCCCCAATGCCCAATGGGAATTCCCAGGATCTCATCCCATTCCCAGTGGGAATTCCCAAATCAGGGAATTCCTGGGATTCCTAGGCCATTTCCAGTGGGAATTCCCAAATCTGGGAATTCCCAGGATTCTGGCCCATTCCCAGTAGGAATTCCCGGGATTCCAGCCCCCATTCCCAGTGGGATTTCTCGGGATTCCAGCTCCTGTTCCCAGTGGGAATTCCCAAATCAGGGAATTCCCAGTTTCCTGTCCCATTCCCAGTGGGAATTCCCAGGACAAACCCGTCCCTGCTCCATGTGCGCCTGCTCCCAAAATTCCCAAAAATTCCCAAAATTCCCAGAAAAAATCCCAGAATTCCAGCTGGGAATTCCCAAAATCCCCAATGCCCAATGGGAATTCCCAGGATCTCATCCCATTCCCACTGGGAATTCCCAAATCAGGGAATTCCCATTTTCCTGTCCCATTCCCAGTGGGAATTCCTGGGATTCCAGCCCCGTTCCCAGTGGGAATTCCCAGGATAAACCAGCCCTGATCCAGGGAGGAGATTCTGGAACATTCCCAGTGGGAATTCCCAGTTTCCCAACCCATTCCCAGTAGGAATTCCCAGGATTCCAGGCCCCATTCCCAGTGGGAATTCCCAAATCAGGGAATTCCCAGATTCCAGGCCCCATTCCCAGTGGAATTCCCAGGACAACCCCATCCCTGCTCCATGTGCGCCTGCTCCCAGAATTGCCAAAAATCCCCAAAATTCCCAGAAAAAATCCTGGAATTCCAGATGGGAATTCCCAAAATCCCCAATGCCCAATGGGAATTCCCAGGATCCCATCCCATTCCCAGTGGGAATTCCCAGATCCCAGCCCCATCCCCAGTGTGAATTCCCAGGATCTCATCCCATTCCCACTGGGAATTCCCGGATAAATCCGTCCCTGCTCAATGTGAGCCTGACCCCCTCTGAAATTCCCAAAAATTCCCAAAATTCCCAGAATAAAAAACCCCCAGAATTCCCAAAAATTCCAACTGGGAATGCTCAGAGTCCCCAGTTCCCAAAATCCCCAATGCCCAATGGGAATTCCCAGGATCTCATCCCATTCCCAGTGGGAATTCCCAAATCAGGGAATTCCTGGGATTCCAAGGCCATTCCCAGTGGGAATTCCCAAATCTGGGAATTCCCAGATTCCCAGCCCCATTCCCAGTGGGAATTCCCAGTTTCCCATCCCTGCTCCATGTGAGCCTGCTCCAAAAATTCCCAAAATTCCCAGAAAAAATCCCAGAATTCCAGCTGGGAATTCCCCAAATCCCCAATGCCCAATGGGAATTCCCAGGATCTCATCCCATTCCCAGTGGGAATTCCCAAATCAGGGAATTCCTGGGATTCCAAGGCCATTCCCAGTGGGAATTCCCAAATCTGGGAATTCCCAGATTCCCAGCCCCATTCCCAGTGGGAATTCCCAGTTTCCCATCCCTGCTCCATGTGAGCCTGCTCCAAAAATTCCCAAAATTCCCAGAAAAAATCCCAGAATTCCAGCTGGGAATTCCCCAAATCCCCAATGCCCAATGGGAATTCCCAGGATCTCATCCCATTCCCAGTGGGAATTCCCAAATCAAGGAATTCCCAGATTCCAGCCCCGTTCCCAGTGGGAATTCCCAGGATAAACCCGCCCTGATCCAGGGAAGAGATTCTGGAACATCCCCAGTGGGAATTCCCAGGATCTCATCCCATTCCCAGTGGGAATTCCCGGGATTCCAGCCCCATTCCCAGTGGGAATTCCCAGTTTCCCATCCCTGCTCCATGTGAGCCTGCTCCAAAAATTCCCAAAATTCCCAGAAAAAATCCTGGAATTCCAGCTGGGAATTCCCAAAATCCCCAATGCCCAATGGGAATTCCCAAATCAGGCAATTCCCAGGATCCTGGCCCCATCCCCAGTGGGATTTCCTGGGATCCCGGCCCCCGTTCCCAGTGGGAATTCCCAAATTCCAGCCCCATTCCCAGTGGGAATTCCCAAATCAGGGAATTCCCAGAATTCCAGGCCCCATTCCCGGTGGGAATTCCCAGGATAACCCCATCCCTGCTCCATGTGCGCCTGCTCCCAAAATTGCCAAAAATTCCCAAAATTCCCAGGGAAAAATCCCGGAATTCCAGCTGGGAATTCCCCAAATCCCCAATGCCCAATGGGAATTCCCAGGATCTCATCCCATTCCCAGTGGGAATCAGGGAATTCCCAGGATTCCAGCCCCCATTCCCACTGGGAATTCCCAAATCAGGGAATTCCCATTTTCCTGTCCCATTCCCAGTGGGAATTCCCAGATTCCAGCCCCGTCCCCAGTGGGAATTCCCGGGATCTCATCCCCTTCCAAGTCAGAATTCCCGGGATTCCAGGCCCCATCCCCAGTGGGAATTCCCAGTTTCCCATCCCTGCTCCATGTGCGCCTGCTCCAAAAATTCCCAAAATTCCCAGAAAAAATCCCGGAATTCCAGCTGGGAATTCCCAAAATCCCCAATGCCCAATGGGAATTCCCAAATCAGGCAATTCCCAGATTCCCAGCCCATTCCCAGTGGGAATTCCTGGGATTCCAGCCCTGTTCCCAGTGGAAATTCCCACATCAGGGAATTCCCAGATTCCAGCCCCATTCCCAGTGGGAATTCCCAGGATAACCCCATCCCTGCTCCATGTGAGCCTGCTCCCAGAATTCCCAAAAATCCCCAAAATTCCCAGGAAAAATCCTGGAATTCCAGCTGGGAATTCCCCAAATCCCCAATGCCCAATGGGAATTCCCAGGACCTCATCCCATCCCCACTGGGAATTCCCAAATCAAGGAATTCCTGGGATTCCAGGCCCCATTCCCAGTGGGAATTCCCAGTTTCCCAGCCCCATTCCCAGTAGGAATTCCCAGGATTCCAGCCCCATTCCCAGTGGGAATTCCCAGGACAAACCCGTCCCTGCTCCATGTGATCCTGCTCCCAAAATTCCCAAAAATTCCCAAAATTCCCAGAAAAACTCCGGGAATCCCAGCTGGGAATTGCCAAAGCCGCCCCCCCGGCAGCTGCGCCCGCCCCAATCCCGAAATGCCCCGGGAACCTCTGGAAAACGGGGCTGGAATTTTGGGAATGGAGCCCTGGGGGCTCTTCCTGATGGGAATGGGGTCAGGAAATGGGGAATTCCCACTGGGAATGGGCTGGGAAACCGGGAATGGCCTGGAATCCCGGGAATTCCCAGGCTGGGGCCGGGATTTTCCATGGAATTCCAGCATTCCCTGGCTCAGGATGGGATTTTCCCAGGAATTCCCACTGGGAATGTTCCAGGATCCATTCCCTGCTTGGGTTTTTCCCAGGAATTCCCATTCCCGGGGCCAGGATTTTCCCAGGAATTCCCTGGCTCGGAACAGGTTTTTCCTGGGAATTCCAGCATTCCCTGGCTCAGGACAGATTTTCCCAGGAATTCCCATTCTGGGACCAGGATTTTCACGGGAATTTCACCATTCCCATTCTGGGGCCGGGATTTTCCCAGGAATTCTGGAATTCCCATTCTGGGACCAGGATTTTCATGGGAATTCCACCATTCCCATTCTGGGGCCGGGATTTTCCGGGAATTCTGGAATTCCCATTCTCAGGACAGATTTTTCCTGGAAATTCCCATTCCCAGGGCAGGATTTTCCTGGGAATTCCCTGGCTTGGCACAGATTTTCCTGGGAATTCCAGCATTCGCATTCTGGGGCTGGGATTTTCCCAGGAATTTTGGAATTCCCATTCTCAGGACAGATTTTTCCCAGAAATTCCCGTTCTGGGGGTGGGATTTTCCCAGGAATTCCCATTCTCAGGACAGGATTTTTTCCAGGAATTCCTGAGCTCCAGGCAGGATTTTCCCGGGAATTCCCTGGCTCAGGACGGGATTTTCCCGGGAATTCCCATTCTTGGGGTGGGATTTTCCATGGAATTCTGGAATTCCCTGTCTTGGAACAGATTTTTCCCTGGAATTCTGGAATTCCCTGGCTCAGGGTGGGTTTTCCTGGGAATTCCCACTGGGAATGTTCCAGGATCCATTCCCTGGCTCAGGACAGATTTTTCCCAGGAATTCCTGAGCTCCAGGCAGGATTTTCCTGGGAATTCCCTGTCTTGGCACAGATTTTTCCTGGGAATTCCAGCATTCCCTGGCTCAGGACAGATTTTTCCCAGGAATTCCCGTTCTGGGGCTGGGATTTTCCCTGGAATTTTGGAATTCCCTTTCTCAGGACAGGATTTTCCCAGGAATTCCTGAGCTCCAGGCAGGATTTTCCTGGGAATTCCCTGGCTCAGGATGGGATTTTCCCAGGAATTCCCACTGGGAATGTTCCAGGATCCATTCCCAGGTCAGATTTTTCCCAGGAATTCCCATTCTGGGGCCAGGATTTTCCCAGGAATTCCCATTCCCTGGTCGGGTTTTTCCCAGGAATTCCCTGGCTCAGAACAGGATTTTCCTGGGAATTCCAGCATTCCCTGGCTCAGGACGGGATTTTCCCAGGAATTCCCAGTCTGGGGCTGGGATTTTCCCAGGAATTCTGGAATTCCCTTTCTCAGGGCAGGATTTTTCCCAGAAATTCCTGAGCTCCAGGCAGGATTTTCCTGGGAATTCCCTGGCTCAGGGTGGGTTTTTCCCAGGAATTCCCACTGGGAATGTTCCAGGATCCATTCCCTGGTCAGATTTTTCCCAGGAATTCCCATTCCCAGGGCAGGATTTTCCTGGGAATTCCAGCATTCCCTGGCTCAGGACAGATTTTTCCTGGGAATTCCCAGTATGGGGGTGGGATTTTCCCAGGAATTCTGGAATTCCCATTCTCAGGGTGGGATTTTCCCAGGAATTCCCTGGCTGAGAACAGATTTTCCTGGAAATCCTGGAATTCCCTGACTTAGGACAGATTTTCCCCAGGAATTCCCAGTCTGGGGCCAGGATTTTCCCTGGAATTTTGGAATTCCCTGGCTTCAGGACAGATTTTTCCCAGGAATTCCATCATTCCCTAACTCAGGATGGGATTTTTCCCAGGAATTCCCATTGGGAATGTTCCAGGATCCATTCCCTGGTCAGGTTTTTCCCAGGAATTCCCTGTCTTGGCACAGATTTTCCCGGGAATTCCACCATTCCCACTCTGGGGCCGGGATTTTCCCAGGAATTCTGGAATTCCCATTCTCAGGACAGGATTTTTCCCAGGAATTCCTAGTCTGGCGCTGGGATTTTCCTGGGAATTCCCTGTCTGGGTACAGAATTTTCCTGGGAATTCCTGGCCTCAGGGCAGGATTTTCCCAGGAATTCCCAGTCTGGGGCCAGGTTTTTCCTGGGAATTCCAGCATTCCCTGGCTCAGGATGGAATTTTTCCCAGGAATTCCCACTGGGAATGTTCCAGGATCCATTCCCTGGCTCAGGACAGATTTTCCCAGGAATTCCCTGTCTGGGACCAGGATTTTCCCGGGAATTCCACCATTCCCATTCAGGGGCCGGGATTTTCCCAGGAATTCCACCGTTCCCATTCTGGGGCCGGGATTTTCCTGGGAATTCCACCGTTCCCATTCAGGGGCCGGGATTTTCCCAGAATTCCACCATTCCCATTCAGGGACCAGGATTTTCCCAGGAATTCCACCATTCCCATTCTGGGGCCGGGATTTTCCCGGGAATTCTGGAATTCCCATTCAGGGACCAGGATTTTCCCGGGAATTCCACCATTCCCATTCTGGGACCAGGATTTTCCCAGAATTCCACCATTCCCATTCAGGGGCCGGGATTTTCCCTGGAATTCTGGAATTCCCATTCTGGGAGCAGGATTTTCCCAGGAATTCTGGAATTCCCTTTCTCAGGACAGGATTTTTCCCAGGAATTCCCAGTCTGGGGCCAGGTTTTTCCTGGGAATTCCAGCATTCCCAGGCTCAGGGTGGGATTTTCCCAGGAATTCCCTGTCTTGGCACAGATTTTCCTGGAATTCCACCATTCCCATTCTGGGCCTGGGATTTTCCCGGGAATTCCACCATTCCCATTCTGGGGCCAGGATTTTCCCAGAATTCCACCATTCCCATTCAGGGGCCGGGATTTTCCCAGAATTCCACCATTCCCATTCTGGGGCCAGGATTTTCCCAGAATTCCACCATTCCCATTCAGGGCCCGGGATTTTCCCGGAATTCCGGGTTCCGTTCCCGGTTTCATTCCCGCTTTTCCCGGCAGCTCTTCAGCCCCTCGGTGGCGGTGCCGGACGTGACCCTGCCCGACCTGGACAGCAGCCTGGCCAGCGTGAGCCCGGGAATCCCGGGAATTCTGGGAATTCTGGAATGCTGGGAATGCTGGGAATTGTGGGAATTGTCAGCCACCACCACCACCACCCCAAAAAGGGCAAATCCCAAATTTTCCAGCCCCTGGGATTCCCATTTAAGCCCCTACAGCCGTGGAATTCCTGGGGAAAATCCCAGGATTGGCATTGGGGATGAGATGGGAGATGGGATTGGGATTGGGGCTGGGATTGGGGTTGGGGATGGGATTGGGATTGGGGGTTGGGATTGGGATTTGTGGTAGGATTGGGATTGGGATCGGGATCAGGATTGGGGCTGGGATTGGGGCTGGGATTGGGATCGGGATCAGGATTGGGGCTGGGATTGGGTTTTGGATTGGGGCTGGGATTGGGATCAGGATTGGGGCTGGGATTGGGATTGGGATCGGGATTGGGGCTGGGATTGGGATTGAGATTAGGGCTGGGATTGGGATTGGGGCTGGGATTGGGATCGGGATCAGGATTGGGGCTGGGATTGGGATTGGGATTGGGGATGGGATTGGGATTGGGGCTGGGATTGGGATTGGGGATGGGATTGGGATTGGGATTGGGGCTGGGATTGGGGATGGGATCAGGATTGGGGCTGGGATTGGGATCGGGATCAGGATTGGGGCTGGGATTGGGGCTGGGATTGGGTTTTGGATTGGGGCTGGGATTGGGATCAGGATTGGGGCTGGGATTGGGATCGGGATCGGGATTGGGGCTGGGATTGGGATTGAGATTAGGGCTGGGATTGGGGCTGGGATTGAGATTGGGATCAAGATTATTATTGGGATCAGGGCTGGGATTGGGATTGGGATTGGGATCAGAGCTGGGATTGGGTTTTGGATTGGGATCAGGATTGGGATCAGGATCGGGATTGGGGCTGGAATCAGGATCAGAGCTGGGATTGGGATCAGGGCTGGGATTGGGATTGGGATCAGATCAGGATTTGGGATGGGGATCAGAGCTGGGGCTGGGATTTCAGTCAGGGCCAGGATTGGGATCAGGGCTGGGATTTGAAACAGGGCCGGGATTGGGATTGGGGCTGGGATTGGGATCAGGATCAGGGCCAGGATTGGGGATCAGGATCAGGGCTGGGATTGGGATTGGGATTGGAATCAAGGCTGGGATTGGGACCAGAAATGGGATTAGGATTGGGATCAGGGCTGGAATTGGGATCAGGATCAGGATCAGGGCTGAGATTGGGATTGGGATTGGTCTGGGATTGGGACCAGAACTGGGATTAGGTTCAGGTTTGGGATCAGGGCTGGAATTGGTTCTGGGATTGGGATTGGGATTGGTCTGGGATTGGGATCAGGGCTGGGATTGGGATCAGGGCTGGGACCGGAATTGGGATCAGGATTGGGGCAGGGATCAGGGTATCAGGGACAGGACTGGGATTGGGATTGGGGCTGGGATTGGGATCAGGGCTGGGATTGGGGTCGGGATCAGGATCAAGGCTGGGATCAGGATCAGGGATAGGATTGGGATGGGAGATTGGGATGGGATCAGGAACAGGACTGGGATCAGAGATGGGATCAGGGGAGGGATTGGGATCAGAGCTGGGATTGGGATCGGGATTGGGGGGCTGGGATTGGGATTGAGATTGGGGCTGTGATTGGGATTGGGGCCACAGTCGGGATTAGGAATGGATTTGGGACTGGATTTGGGATTGGGGCTGGGATCACGATTAGGATTGGAATTGGGATCGGGATCGGGATTGGGATTGGGGCTGGAATTGGGATCAGGATCAGGATTGGGATTGGGATGAGGATCAGGGCTGAGATTGAGATTGGGACTGGCATTGGGATCAGGATTGGGATTGGGATTAGGAATTGGGGCTGGGATTGGAATCAGGATTGGGTTCAGGGCTGGGATTGGGATTGGGGCTGGGATCAGGATCGGGATCGGGGCTGGGATCAGGATTGGGATCGGGATGGGATCAGGGCTGGGATTGAGATTGGGATCGGGATTGGAGCTGGGATTGGAGTTGAGATCGGGATTGGGGCTGGAACTGGGATTGGGATGGGATCAGGGCTGGGATTGGGATTGGGATCAGGGCCAGGATTAGGATCGGGATTGGGGCTGGGATCGGGATCGGGATTGGGATCAGGACCGGGATTGGGATCGGGATCAGGGCCAGGATTAGGATCGGGATCAGGATTGGGATCGGGATCGGGATTGGGGCTGGGATCAGGATCGGGATCAGGATTGGGATCGGGATTGGGATTGGGATCAGGGCCAGGATTAGGATTGGGATCAGGATTGGGATCAGGACCAGGATTAGGATCGGGATTGGGGCTGGGATCGGGATTGGGATTGGGATCAGGACCAGGATTAGGACCGGGATCAGGACTGGGATTGGGATTGGGATCAGGGCCAGGATTAGGATTGGGATCAGGATCGGGATCGGGGCTGGGATCAGGGCCGGGCTCCTGCCCAGGATCGTTCCCCGCTGTCCCCGTTTGGCAGCGCCAGCCCCTCCCCATTCCCGGGATTTTCCGCTCCGGGATCGTTCCTGGGAACGTTTGGGATGAGCAGGGGCTGAGTTTGGGATCCCCTTAAAACCCCAAAAACCTGGGAATGAGTGGAAATCATTCCCGGAATTCCGACAGATCCAGGATCTCCTCTCGAACCAGGAGCAGCAGAAACCGACGGAGACCGAGCCCGGGGCCGGGGACTCCGGTATCCCACGGGAATTTGGGGAATTTGGGGAATTTTGGGGATATTTGGGAATGGGGGACTGTGGTATCCCAAAGGGAATTTGGGGAATTTTGGGGTTTTTGGGAATGGGGGACTCTGGTATCCCAGTGGGAATTTGGGGAATTTTGGGGTTTTTGGGATATTTGGGAATGAGGGACTGTGGTATCCCAAAGGAATTTGGGGGTTTTTGGGATATTTGGGAATGGGGGACTCCGGTATCCCACGGGAATTTGGGGAATTTTGGGGTTTTTGGGGTTTTTGGGAATGGGGGACTGTGGTATCCCATGGGGATTTTGGGTTTTTTGGGGATTTCTGGGATATTTAGGAATGGGGGACTCCGGTATCCCACGGGAATTTGGGGAATTTTGGGGTTTTTTGGGGATTTTTGGGATATTTAGGAATGTGGGACTCCGGTATCCCAAAGGGAATTTTGGGATATTTGGGATTTCTATAAATGGGAAACTCTGGCATCCCAAAGGAATTTGGGGATTTTTGGGATATTTGGGGATGAGGGACTCCGGTATCCCAATGGGAATTTTGGGATTTTGGGTGGTTTTGGGGTATTTGGGAATGGGGGACTCTTGTATCCTGTGGGAATTTTGGGAATTTGGAGATTTGGGAATGGGGTCTCTGCAATCCCAACGGGAATTTTGGGAATTTTGGGAATGGGGAACTCTGGTATCCCACGGGAGTTTTGGGGGTTTTGGGATCCCATGGGATTTTTGGGAATGGGGGGGCTCTGGTATCCCATGGGAATTTTGGGATTTTGGGTGGTTTTGGGATATTTGGGAATGGGGGACTCTGATATTCCATGGGAATTTTAGGATTTTTTTGGGGAATTTGGGGATTTGGGAACGGGAGACTCCAGTATCACAGCAGGAATTCTGGGATATTTGGGGTTTTGGGGATATTTGGGAATGAGGGACTGTAGTATCCCATGGGGATTTTTGGTTTTTTTGGGGATTTCTGGGATATTTAGGAATGGGGGACTCCGGTATCCCAAAGGGAATTTTGGGATTTTTGGCATTCTTGGGATACTTGGGAATGCGGGACTCGGGTATCCCAAAGGGAATTTTGGGATTTTTGGCATTCTTGGGATATTTGGGAATGCGGGACTCGGGTATCCCAAAGGGAATTTTGGGATTTGGGAAATCTGGGGGTTTTGGGAATGGGGGACTGTGGTATCACATGGGAATTTTGGGATTTTTGGGATATTTGGGAATGGGGGACTCCGGTATCTCAAAGGGAATTTTGGGATTTGGGAATGGGGGACTCTGGTATCCCATGGGAATTTTGGGATTTTGGGGGTTTTTGGGATATTTGGGAATGGGGGGCTCTGGTATCCCAACGGGAATTTGGGGATATTTGGGATATTTGGGATGGGATTGCAATCAGGATTATGTGGGGTTTTTGTGGATTAGGATTGGGATTAGGATGGGATTGGGATTGGGATTGGGATTGGGATTCCCACCCGTGCTGTCCTGGAATTCCAACCTTGAGCTGGGATCATCCCAAACATTCCTGCCCATTTATCCCAGTCCCAAATTCCCGTTTTCCAGGGAAGCAGCTGGTGCCCTGCACAGGTCATGATCCCAATCCCACATTCCCAATCTCCCAATCCCAAATTCCCAATCCCAAATTCCCAAATTCCCGTTGTTTCCCAGGGAAGCAGCTGGTGCCCTGCACCATCCAGCCCCTGTTCCTGGTGGATTATCCCAAATTCCCATTTTTTCCAATCCCAAATTCCCATTGTTTCCCAGGGAAGCAGTTGGTTCCCTGCACCGTGCAGCCGCTGTTCCTGGTGGATTATCCCATAATCCCAAATTCCCATTTTTCCCATTGTTTTCCAGGGAAGCAGCTGGTGCCCTGCACCGTCCAGCCCCCGTTCCTGGTGCATTATCCCAAATTCCCAAATCCCCAATCCCCATTTATCCCAAATTCCCATTGTTTCCCAGGGAAGCAGCTGGTTCCCTGCACCGTCCAGCCCCTGTTCCTGGTGGATTATCCCATTTATCCCAAATTCCCAAATAATTCTCGTGGTTTCCCAGGGAAGCAGCTGGTGCCCTGCTCAGTGGATTTTCCCAATCCCACATTCCCAATCCCATATCCCCAATCCCACATTCCCAATCTCAAATTCCCGTTGTTTCCCAGGGAAGCAGCTGGTTCCCTGCACCGTGCAGCCGCTGTTCCTGGTGGATTATCCCAAATTCCCATTTTTTCCATTGTTTTCCAGGGAAGCAGCTGGTTCCCTGCACCGTGCAGCCGCTGTTCCTGGTGGATTATCCCATAATCCCAAATTCCCATTTTTCCCATTGTTTTCCAGGGAAGCAGCTGGTGCCCTGCACCGTCCAGCCCCTGTTCCTGGTGGATTATCCCAAATTCCCACATTCCCACATTCCCACATTCCCATTGTTTCCCATGGAAGCAGCTGGTGCCCTGCTCAGTGCCTGATCCCAATCCCACATTCCCCATCCCATTATCCCAGTCCCCCAATCCCAAATTCCCACATTCCCGTTGTTTTCCAGGGAAGCAGCTCGTTCCCTGCACCGTCCAGCCCCCGTTCCTGGTGCATGATCCCAATCCCGTTTATCCCGATTCCAGTCCCCCATTCCCAATCCCACATTCCTGATCCCAATCCCATTTATCCCAATCCCAAATTCCCATTGTTCCAGGGAAGCAGCTGGTGCCCTGCACAGTGCATGATCCCAATCCCCAAATCCCAAATTCCCGTTGTTTCCCATGGAAGCAGCTGGTGCCCTGCACCGTGGATTATCCCAATCCCATTTATCCCAATCCCAATCCCAAATTCCCATTGTTTTCCATGGAAGCAGTTGGTTCCCTGCACCATCCAGCCGCTGTTCCTGGTGGATTATCCCAAATCCCAACATTCCCAAATTCCCAAATTCCCATTGTTCCAGGGAAGCAGCTGGTGCCCTGCTCAGTGCCTGATCCCAATCCCACATTCCCAATCCCAGCTGCTGTTCCTGGTGGATTATCCCAATTCCCAAATTCCCACATTCCCAATCCCACATTCCCAAATTCCCAAATTCCCATTTTTCCCATTGTTTTCCAGGGAAGCAGCTGGTTCCCTGCACCGTCCAGCCGCTGTTCCTGGTGGATTATCCCAAATCTCCAATCCCAAATTCCCATTTTTTCCATTGTTTCCCAGGGAAGCAGCTGGTGCCCTGCACTGTCCAGCCGCTGTTCCTGGTGGATTATCCCAAATTCCCATTTTTTCCAATCCCACATTCCTGTTGTTCCAGGAACGCAGCTGGTGCCCTGCACAGTGGATTATCCCATTCCCATTTATCCCAATCCCACATTCCCAATCCCAGTCCCACATTCCCACATTCCCGTTGTTTCCCAGGGAAGCAGCTGGTTCCCTGCACCATCCAGCCCCCATTCCTGGTGGATTATCCCAAATTCCCATTTTTTCCAATCCCACATTCCCATTGTTTTCCAGGGAAGCAGCTCGTGCCCTGCACCATGCAGCTGCTGTTCCTGGTGGATTATCCCAAATTCCCATTTATCCCAAATTCCCATTTTTCCCATTGTTTTCCAGGGAAGCAGCTGCTGCCCTGCACCGTCCAGCCGCTGTTCCTGGTGGATTATCCCAAATTCCCATTTATCCCAAATTCCCATTTTTCCCATTGTTTCCCAGGGAAGCAGCTGGTTCCCTGCACCGTCCAGCCGCTGTTCCTGGTGGATTCCAGCGCCGTCGACGTCGGCTCCGGGGATCTCCCGATATTTTTCGAGCTGGGGGAGGGCCCCCCGTGCTTCCCGGACGGGGACGAGTACCCCGAGGAGTACCCGGAGGAGTACCCGGAGGAGTACCCCGAGGAGTACCCCGAGGAGTACCCCGAGGATCCCGCGCTGCTCCCGCCCACGCCCAAGGACCCGGCCGTGTCCTAAGGCCGGCACCGGGCTCAGGGACAGCGTCCCAAAAACAAAAACAACAAAAAAACAAAAAACTGGGATCCCAAAAAAACAAAAAACAAAAAAAAAAGAAAAAAAAGGGAAGGAAGCCCCGAGTGACCTCGTCCTGCTGCGCTCGGAACCCGGAGCCGGCGCCGCCCTCGGGGCCATTCCGGGGAGTCCTGGAGGATCCTGAATCGCCCCCGGGGAATCCTGGAGCATCCCAGAGGATCCCGGGGAATCCTGGAGCGTCCTGGATAATTCTCGGAGGATCCAGGAGGATCCCGGAGAGTCCTTGAGGATCCTGGGGAATCCTAAATCGTCCCTGGGTATCCTGGAGCGTCCCAGAGGATCCTGGGGAATCCTGGAGCATCCCAGAGGATCCTGGGGGGTTCTGGAGTGTCCTGGAGAACTCTGGGAAATCCCAGAGGATCCTAAATCGTCCCCATGGAATCCTGGAGCACCCCAGAGGATCCTGGGGAATCCTGGAGCATCCCAGAGGATCCCGGGGGATTGTGGAGCGTCCTGGATAATTCTGGGAGGATCCCAGAGAGTCCTTGAGGATCCTGGGGGATCCTGGAGGATCCTAAATCGTCCCTGGGTATCCTGGAGCATCCCGGGGGATTCTGGAGCATCCCAGAGGGTCCCGGGGAATCCTGGAGTGTCCCAGAGGGTCCTGGGGAATCCTGGAGCCTCCTGGATAATTCTCGGAGGATCCCGGAGAGTCCTTGAGGATCCTGGGGAATCCTGGAGGATCCTAAATCGTCCCAGGGGATCCTGGGGAATCCCAGAGGATCCCAGGGGGTTCTGGAGCGTCCTGGAGAACTCTGGGAAATCCCAGAGGATCCAGGAGGGTCCTAAATCGTCCCCAGGGAATCCTGGAGCACCCCAGAGGATCCTGGGGAATTCTGGAGCATCCCAGAGGATCCCGGGGGATTGTGGAGCGTCCTGGATAATTCTGAGAGGATCCCGGAGGATCCCGGAGAGTCATTGAGGATCCTGGGGAATCCTGGAGGATCCTAAATCGTCCCTGTGGGATCCTGGAGCATCCCGGGGGATTCTGGAGCATCCCAGAGGGTCCCGGGGAATCCTGGAGCATCCCAGAGGATCCTGGGGGGTTCTGGAGCGTCCTGGAGAACTCTGGGAAATCCCAGAATATCCAGGAGGATCCTAAATCGTCCCCAGGGAATCCTGGAGCATCCCAGAGGATCCTGGGGAATTCTGGAGCATCCCAGAGGATCCTGGGGGATTGTGGAGCGTCCTGGATAATTCTGGGAGGATCCCGGAGGATCCCAGAGAGTCATGGAGGATCCTGGAGGATCCTAAATCGTCCCTGGGGATCCTGGAGCATCCCAGAGGATCCTGGGGGATTGTGGAGCGTCCTGGATAATTCTGGGAGGATCCGGGAGAGTCCTTGAGTATCCTGGGGAATCCTGGAGGATCCTAAATTGTCCCTGGGGATCCTGGAGCATCCTGGGGGATTCTGGAGCATCCCAGAGGGTCCCGGGGAATCCTGGAGCATCCCAGAGGATCCTGGGGGGTTCTGGAGCGTCCTGGAGAACTCTGGGAAATCCCAGAGGATCCAGGAGGGTCCTAAATCGTCCCCAGGGAATCCTGGAGGATCCCAGAGGATCCCGGGGGATTGTGGAACGTCCTGGAGAATTCTGATAGAATCCCGGAGTATCCCAGAGAGTCATGGAGGATCCTGGAGGATCCTAAATCGTCCCTGGGGATCCTGGAGCATCCCAGATTATCCTGGGGGATTCTGGAGGATCCTAAATCGTCCCTGGGGATCCTGGAGCATCCCAGATGATCCTGGGGGATTCTGGAGCATCCCGGAGGATCCTAAACCATCCCAGGGAATTCCGGGAAATCCCAGAGGATCCAGGGGGATTGTGGAGCATCCTGGAGAATTCTTGGAAATCCCAGAGGATCCCAGGGAATCCTGGAGGATCCCGGGGCATCCTGGAGAATTCTGGGGAATCCCAGAGGATCCCGGGGAGTCCTGGAGGGTCCTAAACCGTCCCTGGGAATCCTGGAGGATCCCGGACAATTCCAGGAAATCCCAAAGGATCCTGGAGCATCCCAGGGAATCCTGGAGGAACCCAGAGGGTCCCAAGGAATCCTGGAGGGTCCTGGAGAATTCCAGGAAATCCCAAAGGATCCTGGAGGGTCCCAGATCATCCTGGGAGTTTACAGAAGATCCCAGGAAATCTTGGAGCATCCCAGAGCATCAGAAGGGAGCCCAGAGGGTCCCAAAAAATCCTGGAGCATCCCAGAAAATCCTGGAGCATCCCAAATCATCCCGGGGAATCCTGGAGCATTCCAGGGCATCCCAGAGCATCCCAGTGGATCCCAGAGGATCCCAGAAAATCCTGGAGCATCCTGAAGGATCCCAGGGACCCAGAGAGCAGCAGAACCCCGGGATCTGGGGGAGCTGAAATCCAGGGATCCCCAAATTCCAGAATTTCCCAGAAAAAAGCAATGCCCGAAATCCATGGGGTCCTGAAATAGCCCAAAATCCCAAAATATCCCAGAAAAAAACAATGCCCAAAATCCACAGGGTCCTAAAATAGCCCGAAATCCAGTGGATCCCTAAATCCAGCAGATCCCAAAATCCTGGATTATCCCAGAAAAAAACAGCGCCCGAAATCCATGGGGTCCTGAAAAGGCCCAAAATCCAGAGGATCCCAAAATCCCAAAATATCCCTGAAAAAAATGGCACCCAAAATCCACAGGGTCCTGAAAGGGCCCAAAATCCAGCGGATCCCTAAATCCAGCAGATCCCAAAATCCTGGATTATCCCAGGAAAAAAACAGCGCCCAAAATCCATGGGGTCCTGAAAGAGCCCAAAATCCAGCAGATCCCAAAACCCTGGAATATCCGAGAAAAAAACAATGCCCAAAATCCATGGGGTCCTGAAATAGCCCCAAATCCAGCGGATCCCAAAATATCCCCGAAAAAAATGGGGAAATCCATGGGATCCTGAAACCCTAACCCAAAATCCAGTGGATCCCAAAATCCCAGGGAAGCCTGGAATGCCCCAGGATCCCAAAATCCAGCAGATCCCAAAATCCTGGAAATTGCACCCAAGCCCAAAGCCCGGCAGTGCCTGAACCCCACAGGACCCCAAATCCCACAGGACCCCAAAATCCATTGGGATCCCAAATCCCACAGGACCTTGGAGACCAGGAGGACCCCAAAATCCACTGGGATCCCAGCATCCCATGGAACCCCAAAACCTGGCAGGGCCCGAACACCCCAGCACCCCAAAATCCAGCGTGACCCCAAAATCCCACAGGAACCCCAAAATCAGGCAGTACTGGGCTGGGGGGGAACCCCAAAATCCCACAGGACCCCAAAATCCCACAGGATCCCCAAAATCGGGCAGTACTGGGCTGGGGGGGAACCCCAAAATCCTGTGGAACCCCAAAATCCCACAGGATCCCCAAAATCTGGCATTGCCTGAACCCCTCAGGACCCCAAAACCTGGCAGTGCTGGGGAGGGACACCCCAAAATCCTGTGGGATCCCAAAATCTGTCACTGACAGGAGACGCCCAAAGCCGGGGGGACCCCAAAACCCCGAGGTGCCCCGAAACCCCGAGGTGCCCCAAAACCTGGCAGTGCCCCAAGTCCCACGGGACCCCAAAGCCAGGGGGACCCCAGAGTCCTGTGGGATCCCGAACTCCCGTGGGACCCCAAAACCTGGCAGTGCCCAAACACCCCAGCACCCCAAAATCCAATGGGACCCCAAAATCCCACAGGACCCCAAAATTTGGCGTTGCCTGAACCCCTCAGGACCCCAAAACCTGGCAGTGCTGGGAGAGGGGGGACACCCCAAAATCCTGTGGGACCCCAAAATCTGTCACTGACAGGAGACACCCAAAGCCAGGGGGACCCCAAAACCCTGTGGGCACCCCGAAATCCCGAGGTGCCCCAAGTCCCACGGGACCCCAAAGCCAGGGGGACCCCAGAATCCCGTGGGACCCCAAAATCCAGCGGGACCCCAGAACCTGGCAGTGCCCAAACACCCCGGGACCCTAAAATCCAATGGGACCCCAAAACCTGGCAGTGCCCAAACACCCCAGCACCCCAAAATCCCAACACACCCCAAAACCCAGCAGTGCCCAAACACCCCAGCACCCCAAAATCCAATGGGACCCCAAAATCCAATGGGACCCCAAAATCCCACGGGACCCCAAATCCCGGCAGTGCCTAAACACCCCAGCACCCCAAAATCCCGGTGGGATCCCAAATCCCATGGGACCCCTGAGGCCAAGAAGACCCCAAAATCCCACGGGACCCCAAAACCCAGCAGTGCCCAAACACCCCAGGACCTCAAAATCCCTTGGGATCCCAAATCCCATGGGACCCTTGAGGCTGAGAAGACCCCAAAATCCTGTGGGATCCCAAAACCCCAATGCACCCCAAAACCGGGCAGTGCCACAAGATCCCCAAAGCCAGGGGGACCCCAAAATCCTCTTTAATCCCTGAATCCGGTGGGATCCCAGAATCCAGAGGGATCCCAAAATCCCAACGCACCCCAAATCCCGGCAGTGCCCAAGCACCCCAGGACCCTAAAATCCAATGGGACCCCAAAATCCCTTGGGATCCCAAATCCCATGGGACCCTTGAGGCTGAGAAGACCCCAAAATCCTGTGGGACCCCAAAATCCAATGGAACCCCAAAATCTGGCAGTGCCCAAACACCCCAGCACCCCAAAATCCAATGGGACCCCCAAAATCCAGAGGGATCCCAAAATCCAGAAGGATCCCAAAATCCCAACACACCCCAAAACCCAGCAGTGCCCAAGCACCCCAGGACCCTAAAATCCAATGGGACCCCAAAATCCCTTGGGATCCCAAATCCCATGGGACTCTTGAGGCCAAGAAGACCCCAAAATCCAGTGGGACCCCAAAATCCCAATGCACCCCAAAACCGGGCAGTGCCACAAGACCCCCAGAGCCAGGAGGACCCCAAAATCCTCTTTGATCCCAGAATCCAGAGGGATCCCAAAGCTCCAAGGTGCCCCAAAACCTGGCAGTGCCC